TGGTTCTCTCCTTTGATGTACAGAAGCTTTCTAGTTTAATGACATCCCATTTGTTAATTTTTGCCCTATTTTTCCTGATCAATTGATGTCCGGTTTAGAAAATCCTTTCCTACACCTATATCTTGTAGGTTTTTCCCAATGTTTTCTTCTAATAGTTTCAGAGTTTCAGGCTTTACATTGAGGTATTTGATCCATTTGGAATTGAATTTTGTGCAGGGTGAATGATAGGGGTTTAGTTTCATTCTTCTACCAGTGGAGATCCAGTTTTGCCAGCACCATTTGCTGAACATGCTGTGTTTCCTCCAGTGACTATTCCTGGCCCCTTTGTCAAATCAGGTGGCTGAAATTGCATTTACTCATATTTGGGTCTTCAATTTTGTTCCATTGATCTATGGATCTATTTTTGTGCCAATACCATGTTTTTTATGACTATAGCTCTGTAATACAGCTTAAAATCTGGCATAGTAATCCCTGCGGCATTGCTCTTAATGCTCAGGGTTGTTTAGGCTATCTGAGGTCTTTTGTGCTTCCATATGAATCTTAGGATAATTTTTTCCAATTCTGTGAAAAATGTCATGGGGATTTTGATTGGCATTGCGTTGAATCTATATATGACTTTTGGTAGGATGGTCATTTTCACAATATTAATTCTTTCAATCCTTGAGCATGGGAGGTCCTTCCATCTTCTGATGTCTTTCAGTTTCTTTCTTTAAAGATTTAAATATTTCATTGTAGAGCTCTTTTTTGTCTTTGGTCAGGTTTATTCCAAGATATTTTTTTTTGCAGCTATTGTGAATGGGAGTGTTTCCATGTGCTCTTTCTCTGACTGCTTGTTATTGGTATATAGAAAGGCTATAGACTTTTTGTAGGTTAATTTTGTAACCTGCCACTTTACTGAACGTGTTAATAATTTATAGGAGTTTTTGGGTGGAATGTTTGGTGTCCCTTAGATATAATATCATATCGTCTGCAAAAAGGGATAATTTGATCTCTTCTTTTCCAATTATTACTCCTTTAATTTCCTTCTCTTGTTCACTGCTCTTGCAAGAGTTTCAGGCACTATGTTAATGAGAAGTAGAGATAGTGGACAGCCTTGTCTGGTTCCTGATATCAATGGGAATGCTTCCAGTTTTTCTCCATTTAGAATGATGTTGACTGTGGGTTTGTTATATATGCCTTTAATTATGTTGAGGTATGTTCCCTACAGTCCAATTCTCTCTAGGATTTTGAACATAAATGCATGTTGAATTTTGTCAAAGGCTTTCTCTGCATCTATTGAGATGACCATGTGTTTCTTGTCATTAAGCCCATTTATGTGATTTATGACGTTTATTGACTTACGTATATCAAACCATCCCTGCATCTCTGGAATAAAGCCAACTTGATCTCTTTACCTGGATTTGGTATTAAAGTGATGCTGGCTTCATAGAAGGAATTTGGAAGATCTCCCTCCATTTCTATTTTTTGAATAAATTAAGTAGTATTGGATGTAGATCTTCTTTAAATGTCTGATAGAATTTTGCTGTGTATCTATCTGGTCCTGGGCTATTTTAGTAGGGAGATTTTGTATCACTGTTTCAATTTCATTTTTGTTATGGGTCTGTTTAAGCTGTTAATCTCTTCTTGGTTTAGTTTTCATGGTTCCCATGTGTTTAAATATCCCTCCATTTCTTTTAGGTTTTCAAATTTAGTAGCATATAGGTTTTTAAAGTATTCTCTTATAATGTTCTGTATCTTTCTGGTGTCTGTTGTGATGTTACCCCTCTCATCTTTGATTTTGTTGATTTGGAGGTGCTCTTTCTTTCTTTTGGTTAACTGGGCTAGCGGTCTGTCAATCTTTTTTATCTTTTCAAAGAACCAGCTTTTGGATTTGTTGATCCTTTGTATTGTTTTTTTCAATTTCATTAATTTCTGCCCCGATTTTTCTTATTTGTTCTTGCCTGTTGGGTTTGGGTTTCGTTTGCTGTTGCTTTTCAAGTGCCTTGAGTTGCAATGTTAAGTCATTTATTAGTGTTCTTTCCAATTTTTCATGTAGGCGCTTTAGTTATAAACTTCCCTCTAAGGACCGCTTTCAGCGTGTCCCAGAGGTTTTGTCGTGGTGTATTGTCCTTTGAATTTAGCTCTAGGAATACTTTTCTTTTTTCCTAATTTCTCTTTTGACCCATTCATCATTCAGGAGTGTGTTGTTTAATCTCCATGTGTTCATGCAGTGATTAGGGCTTCTTCCAGTGTTGATTGTAAGCTTCATTGCATTGTGGTCTGATAGAATGCATGGAATTATTTCAATCTCTTTGTATTTGTTTAGGTTTGTTTTGTTCCCCAGTATATGGTTGATTTTGCAGAAGGTTCCATGGGGTGCTGAGTAGAAAGTATGTCCTTTGGTGCTTGGGTGGAATACTAAGTAGATGTCTGTTAAGTCTATTTGATGTATGATATTGTTTAATTCACATGTCTCTCTATTAACTCTATTGACCTAATGGAGACAGTGGGGCATTGGAGTCCCCTACTATTAATGAGTTGGGATTAATCTGGGTCTTAAAGTCCTGTAGTATTGTTTTAATGAAGTTGGGTGCACCAGAGTTTGGTGAATATATGTTCTTGGTCAATTGTTCCTTTGATAAGAATGAAGTGGCCCTCTTTATCTCTTCTGATTGGTTTTAGTTTGAAGTCTATTTTGTCAAATATTAGAATTGCAACACCTGCTTATTTTTAGTGTCATTTGCTCGAAATAATTTCTTCCATCCTTTCAACTTAAGGTAGTGCCTATACTTGAAGGTGAGATGAGTTTCTTGAGGACAACAAAAAGATGGAATTTGTTTCTTAATCCAGTCCACTAGCCTGTGTCTTTTATCTGGAGAATGGAGACCATTGATACTTAGAATTATTATTGAAAGCTGTGTATTGGTTCCTGCCATTTTAACTTGATTGCGCTCTTCAGTCTGTTAATATTTAA